GATCAAGAAAAACACTCAGTCTCTCTCAACCTGCCATCTCTCAGCCAAAGGGAAGTTCTGGTAAGATGGATGAACAGGCAGAAAGACTGTACAGACCCCCTTAAACAAAGAAAAGGGGAACCAATTAACAGAGATACAGAAGAAAACCCAGGAGCACGGAGCTTTGAAGGGAAGAATATAGAAGTGGACTAAACTCCAACTAGTAGAAGAATTTGCATGAAAACACCAAAAAAGGAGATATACTGAGCTGCAGTCTGACACAGATCCTGATAGCACAGAAAGCCAAGTGGTGTTAGGACCTAAGAATTAACCTAAAAATCAGTCCTGCTAGCCGGTGATTGCACAGAGGACTGCACTGGTAGTTGGTGAATAAACAGGGAAGCAGCAAAGAGGAAGGCGAGCTGAGCTGTGGACTTTTGCCTGTCTGGAGGATGCAGCCATTTTTAATGTTTACAAGTGGACTGACCATTTTGGGTATTTAGAGTGACAGCATTCTCCCAGATTCCAGGGACTTAAGAATAGGCCCTGCTTGCTGGGAACCACAAGGACATTCCGGATGCCAATGACTAGAAAGGTACGATATTCTTCTTGTTACTCCTATAGCCCATACCCTCCTCGTGAACAAAGATGCAGCCATCTGTCACTCCCACCCACCTTCCGGGCCAGCCGGAATTTCAACCCACTCTTTGTGCTAGGACGGAGTCTGGGTGCCCTACCCTAACCTGCCTAGATTTTTTTTTTTGGGGGGGGGGTGTGTGTGTGTGCTTTTTTTAGTTTGTTTTTCTCTGTTTTAAAATTATTATTATTATTGTCCGTTTTCTTCTTCTTTATTCTTCCCTTCCCAGTTTCTATTTTTTACTTTTATCTCTCTTCCCTCTACCTGATTCCAATTTTTTTCTCATGGTTAACCCTGTTCCTTGTTTTTTTCTTTTTTTTTTGCATTTTTCCCATCTTTTTCTTCATTATTCTCCTACTCTACCTTTTTTCTTATAGCTCTCTACCCAGATATTGTGGGGTTTTTCATTTTATTTCCTTTTATTGGTGATTGTTCTGTGTGTTTACATAGAATGTTCTTTTGTCTGCTCGCTTTTACTTTTTTGATGCTTTTTCCATTGTTGTTTTTGTCTGAGTGGGAGACAGCAACTATGCCCATACGACACAACAACCACACCCACAACTCCTGCAGCTCCACTTACTGAGTGAAATCCACCACCTCCTTTTCCACCAAATCAAAGTCATCCAAAATGGAAAGGAAGAGGTCAAACCATCCCTATTTGCTGATGATATGATCCTATACCTCAAAAACCTAAGAGACTCAGTCAAAAATATAGTGGAATTAATTGAGAGATTTAGCATCGTGGCAGGATACAAGATCAATATCCAAAAATCAGCTCGAGTCCTCTACACCAGCAAAGAGATTGCTGACAAAGAAATAAGGAAATCAATACCACTTATGATACCTACCACAAAGAAATTAAATACTTGGGAATAATCTTACCAGGGACATAAAAGACTTCTACAAAGAAAACTATAAAAAACTACCACAAGAAACTATAAGAGATCTACATAAATGGAAGAACATCCCATGCTCATGGATAGGAAGATTGAACATAGTGAAAATGTCAATTCTACCCAAAGCAATCTATACATTCAATGAAATCCCAATACAGATCCCATCAAACTTTTTTAAGGATATGAAAAAAACAATCACTAACTTTATACAGAAAAGAAAGAGACCTAGGATAAGCAAAGCACCATTGAAGAAGAAAAACAAAGTAGGAGGTCTCACACTGCTGGATCTCAAAACCTACTATACAGCCACAGTAGTCAAAACTGCCTGGTATTGGTATAATGACAGACACACAGACCAATGGAATAGAATTGAGAAACCAGAAATAGATCCATCAATCTATGGTCAGCTGATCTTTGACAAAGGGCCAAAGTCCATTAAATGGGGAAGAGATTGTTTGTTTAATAAATGGTACTGGCAAAACTGGATATCCGTTTGTTTAATAAATGGTGCTGGCAAAACTGGATAATCCATTTGCAGAAAAATTAAACAAGATCCATACCTCACGCCACACACAAAAACTAACTCCAGATGGATCAAAGACTTAAATGTGAAACCTAGAACTACAGAGTTCCTCAAAGAAAAACTAGGGGCAAATTTAGGGGCCCTAATATGTGGCATAAACAGACTATCAAGCATAATCCAAAATGCACAAACAGCAGAAGATAAGCTAGATGAATGGGACTTTCTAAAAATTAAATTTGTATGTGCTTCCAAAGACTTCTCCAAAAGAATCAAAAGAGAACCTACAGATTGGAAAAAAATATTTGGCAATGACATATGTGACAAGGGACTTATCACTAAAATTTATACAAAACTCCAACACCTCAATAACAAAAAGACAAATAATCCAATTAAAAAATGGGCAGAAGATATGAATAGACACTTCTCCAAGGAGGATATTCAGGTGGCCAACAAACATATGAAGAAATGCTCATGATCATTAGCTATTACAGAGATGCAAATCAAAGTAACAATGAGGTACCATCTTCTTCCAGCACTAGCAACAAAGTTCAACATGACAGAAAAAAACAAATGCTGGCGAGGTTATGGAGAGATTGGGACTCTCATACATTGCTGGTGGGACTGTAAAATGGTA